AGGAGAAGTGGTAGTTAAGAATGGCTGCCATGATGAGTTCAGTCCATGCACACGACGAGGGAAGATAAGAAGGTTATAAGACGGGCAATGAGGTGGGTTTTCATTGGCTAAGTGGGGCTACACGACGACGCTTGATGTCATCCCCTGGCTCAACCCTTCTCTCATCATAATCCCATCATCTTCAACGCACACTAAACTTCATGCACTCTCCCAAAAAAAGCCAAAAAAAAAAAAAAAAGAATCTCAGCTCATATACAGCCTCGTCCCCAGCTTAACCCAAAGTTGCATATTGTCCTGGTTTTTCATGTAAAAAGTAGTTCATGGGATGAATTATGAAAGTTAAATAAATCACTATAAAAAATAAATTATTTAATGTTAACATATGTGACTCTTTCTAAAATATGCTGGGTAATAATAAATTATACTTCTTTGGTTTTATTTATGGAGTAGAGAGAGAAGATTTTTTTTATCCTATTTATAGGTCACATCGTTAAATTTTTAGGAGAAATATACTACTCCTCCGGTCCTTATTATAAGACCCAATTTGACTTTTTATTTGGTCCTAATTATAAGACCCAATCCATTTTGTCTCTTATAGTTATGCATTTTTTTCCAAGATAATCCTTCTAATAATGATAGTTTTAGCCAATATACTTAATTAGCAAGGATATTTAGGAATGACAACACTTATTTATTATAAATAACCAACTTAACTTACTTCCTTAATCTCCTCAAATAAGTCAATTGGGTCTTATAATTAGGACCGGAGGAGTATTTTGTATTTCATTTATTATAGTGTAGATAGTTATCTTTTTTCAAATATGTATATATTAAATAGGAATAAAATTAGAAAGTTATTATATTTTAACAGAGAGTTAATATATTTTAAGGTTTTTCTTGACCTGTATGAAACATGTTGGAAATGCTTTATAAATAGGACTAGAAGAATATATCACTTTATAAATTTTATAAATCAGTTCGAGAAAAATAATGAATATAAAAATAAAATAGATCAAAATCTTATATTTAGAACCGTAATAATTAATTCTCTAACTTATTTCTAAATTTAGAATTGCCAAATATATTTAGAACCGTAATAATTAATTCTCTAACTTATTTCCTTTTTGCTACCCATTATTCTCTAACTTATTTCTAAATTTAGAATTGCCGAATATATTGATATATATGCTTCAGCTGCCATTAAGACGTGAAAACAAAAAGCCAAATAAAAATTGAAGTATGCATTCCCACTTTAGAACCAGTTTTAATACTCATTATTTTGATGAACATTCTGAACTCATCAAATTTGCATTATTCACATCTCATTTAAATGGTCTAGATTTGATTTTTTTAATTTTTATTTTTTAAAAATGATTATTTTAATATATATAGAATCTAAAATAGAGATAATCTCCTAACTATAATTTTTTTCCAAAAAATAGTTTTTGTATATAAAAATAATTAATTAAAGATTTTAAATCTGGACTGTTCAAATTAACTATAGACGATCCAGATCTGATGAGTTTATGATGCTCATCAAGATGATGAGGACTGAAACTGGTTCCAACATGTCTACACACACAATTATGTGATCATATTTTAATTTTATTGGTTCTGGTTACAGATTTTTAATAAATACTATAATTTAATAATTATGAGGATGCATCATCCGGCTATTGAGGAGATTGTCTGGACCAGTCGCCTGGGCTTCCGGAGCTGTTTCCTCATTGGCTCATCATTTCCAATTGCTCATCCATCCTCGCGCCACTATGACATCTCCCCCTTCGCTTGTGGTTGCTCTTATGTCTCCAATAATATTTTCCACTTTATTATGCGTGATGCCTTTGCTCGTTTGTGACTTTTTCCCCCCCTTCGGTAAACACTCGTTTGTGACATTTACACAGTCATTATTTCTGATGGTCTATTTTTTTGGTTTCATTTTACTACCCCCTATTCTTAATATAAGAGTTAGTTGTCTAATTTGAGTATATTAAAAAAATTAGTTAAGTTAGTTGTTTGTAATAAATAAGTGTTATGTTTCTCAAAATATCCTTACTAATCAAATATATTTGGATAGAACTATCATTATTACAGGGACTATCTTGGCACAAAATGAATATATATAAAAAACAAGATGAATTGGATTCTTATATTTAGAAATAAAATAAAAATCAAACAAAATCTTGTATTAAAAACTGGAAGTAATTAATATTGTTTTGAAGCTTAGCCAGTGTACTATAAATTGTTTGTTTGCTATCAACTTCATCATAGTCACAGCGAAATATTAACACGAGAAGAGCAGACAATATTTAATGTTTAGGATAATGTTTTGCCAGGGGTTACAAGAATTTAACAAGTAGTGTTGTTAGATTTCATAAAATTTATAGGTCAGTGACATGAAGTAAGATATAAAATGTATTTTTGTTCTCAATAAAATGTTGACTTTTACTTTTAAACACTTTCATATTGATCTATCTCTTGTGCATAAATCGGTTAGGATCGACAAATAATGTAGAGTTTGATTTTCCATTTAAGGAAAAAAGAAGCAAGGCTGCGTGATTCATGGTATACATGATTGTGGATGTTTGGATTATCTCATTTTAAGTAATTTTGTGTTATATAAATAGTAATAATAAATATGTAAGAAGAATTTTGTTTTTTTAAATATAAAAGTGCTTCTTTACGTTATTTTTAAATACCCACTCAATATTACTTTAGATAAGCCATGAACAGTAGCACTAATAGTGATATATGTTAAGTGGCTGCATAGCTAATAATGATTGATTGCATACAGTAACAAGATTTATATCAAGTTGCAAATTCAATGCACATGGTTAAAGATGTATTTTAAAAAATCAATATATATTTATTATAAATCACAAATCTAATTAAAATTTTTAATAATCATAAATTAATTTTTTAATTCTTCTATTAAGGACAAAAATATCACAATTTTGAAAAATCTCCTCCTAAAGTGTAGAGATATGTTGCTCTTTAATTTAACTTAATCTCTAACTTTTTTAACACGGACTCACTGTGAACTTGTTACTAAAAAACAAAAAAAAAAAGAAGTATATGTTAAGTGGCCGATGCCACAAAAGGCGGAGAGGAAAAGCAAGTGTCGAGAAGGGAGGATGCCAAGTGGCATTTGGTATTTTATGTGGGGAAGGGCGAATCAGCGGGGCCTCACATGGGAATCGCTGAGAGTGCACAGCAGAATATGGCTTCGTTGTTCAGTTACATAAACAAGCAGGCCATTCCACGAGTTCATTCATGTACTCCTTTTTTAATAGAAAAATAAAAAAAACCGAACCCATGTCTCCCCAACTAATATTTCTACTGACGAGTTCGTGATTTCATTGTTTATGTTTCCCCTCTTATTTTTTTTTTTAGGGATAAAAACATCTACCATCCCCATTTTTTTTATGGGGTATTTAGCAGTTTAATTTTATTTTATGTATCCAGCACCCAGTTTTATTTTTAGTACACTAATGTCCCGTTTGGCAAGAAACATTAAAAATTAGATATAAGGATCGAAATTGGGATTGAAAAAATCTATTAAAAAATATTTAATATAAGAGATTGTTTGTTATATGAAATTAACTAAACCTATGTATGTGAGATTGAGAAATACTATCCCACCTTTTTGGATTTGTCTAATATTATATAACAAGTAATTACTCATGCTAAATATTATTTTAATGATTTTTTTTCAATTGCAATTTTAATTTCTATCCCTTATTTTCAATGTTTCGTATCGAATAGAACCTAACTATCCTACATACTAAGATTCTAGGTGTAACTAAAAAAACAATATTGAGATACTGGATGCTTTAGGAAGATAAAAATTAGGGCATTGGATACACGCTTTTATTTTATTTTATACTTCTCCTATCCTAATTATAAGAGTTAGTTGACTAACTTGAGGAGATTAAGAAAGTAAGTTGAGTTAGTTATTTGTCCTAAATAGATGTTATCTTTCCTAAAATATCCTTGCTAATCAAGTGTATTGACTAGAATTATCATTAGTAGAAGGGTTACTTTGAAAAAAAAATGTATAAATATGAAAGACAAAGTGGATTGACGTCTTATATTTAGAACCAAAATAAAAGTTAAACAGGGTCTTACATTAAAGACCGGAAGTAGTATATTCTTGCTCTTGATTCCTACGATCCTATATCTAATATGCCGATAGACTTGTGATTACACCAAAACGGCCACCCCATTATGGGATGGGTTAATCGCACGAGTAAGGTTCTTAACATGTCGTTTATATACACTCACACACACATCTCAAAAGCAGATTTTAGTACACTGCAAATATGGGTTTTATTTCTCATTTGAATAACGCACTTCAATGCTTGCGAGAAAAGAAGCACACAAGTATATATTATGCCGCATTTTGAGCTTCTCCCAACACCAGAACAAGCACAGGCTTAATCCTAAATCCAGAGGAGCCATACATTATTTAAGGGGAACTAATATGAGAGATTTGCATTGCGTCCGGGATCAGAAAACTTGGGAAGCCAGTTTAGGAATAGGATTAAAAAAGAGCTGGCTATGAAGTGTTGTAGTTAGCTACACATATTGCACGTAAACTATGTAGTTAGATTGATCCCAAGATTCAAAAGCTGGTCACAAATTAAGAAGCTTGTTTTATAAGAATCCGTGCGGCCGCCCCGTTGCTTCATTCACGTCTCAGTGCATGCATCGTTTGAGTGAAATAGCTGGCGCGTGACGGAGACGCGCAGCACCCTCCCCATGTGTCCATGCACCACTGGAGAGGGCGGGGAACACCAATGGCTTCCTTGGCATTTAAAAACTCCATCTCCCCATAAAAACTCGGCTTCTCTCTCCTTCTCTCTCTCTAGCTTATATTTTATTTTATGATTAGTTGAATCTGTTTTTCAGAGAGAAGGGGAGCATTATATCTGATGTTATGCCAGACGAAGCTCTGAGCCTCTGAACGCTGTCTCACAACACAAACTCACACCCAGACTACTAAAATATATGTGAAATTGACAAATGGCTAACAATTCTCTATCATTTTTGACCTCCTCATGCACATGGCTCCTTGGTTATCTGTCATCTTCATTTTAATTCTCCCCTTCTTTTTTTAGTTTTTCTCTTTTCCTTCACTGTCACATGCTCTCTTCTCTCTTTCTCTCCCAGCCATAAGCTGCGTTTTTTCCTTCTGTGTCATTGAAGGCTTTTGACTCCACAGTTCAAGGGATTCTTCAGATCTACGGGGAAAAGCTCTCTCGACATTCTCATCCAAAATTCTTCTTCTTTCTGGGACTTCCGTGGTGGCTGGCTTTTTCTCATTGGAAGCTCAAAGGTATGCCTAATGATGGTCTCCTCAATTCACTGTTATGATGGCTTTTCTCATTGGTTTTATTGGCTTGTTTCGGTGTATGAATCTCGGCGGGGTCACTGATCGTTGTTGTGGTCCAGTGAGTCAATCGCCTTGATTGATTTCGTTTCTTATGAAAATGTGTATATCAGCTCCAAACTTTTGAAGAGTTGGCTCGAGTTTGATATTTGTTTAGTGTCAGAGCTGTACAAGTCCCAACCTGCATCTTCTGAATTCTCAATATCTGTTGCTTCACGTTTGCCACCTCTGTCTTCAACAACTCCTGTTGAGATTTCGAAGATTATCAATTCGTCAAATATTGTTTTCTTTCATTCTTTCTTCTCTTTTGGCTTTGAATTATTTCCTTCCCTTTTCCTTGTTAGAATTTCTTGAACAGCTATCCTGTATTCATAATTGCTGGCTGGTGACTTTTGGTTTAAATTATGAAATTTCGGCTACTTTAGAGTTTACAGGTGGGATTTTCAGATGCCTTTTCCGATAGTTGGACAGCTAGGCATGTCCTAAAATGGCAATAATTTAACATCAGTTAATCTTTTCCTATAATGCCTCCCACTCATTCACGCTATTCTATTTTCTTTCTTTTATCTCGTAGTTGAGAGCCAAACTTGTATGGAACCCATCTTCGCCTAACAGGTTGGGGCAGGATTTTATCCATTTGGCCTGCTGGGGCTTTGTTCGCGATGCAAAAGAAAGCCAAGAGTCAGAATTGGTTGACTACAAATGCAAAGAGGACTTCATTATAGGCTGCGCAAAAGCAACTGGATATAATCAGTCTGTTTTCATGGTTTGCGAGATGGAGCATGACCTTATGGAGGACATGGACATAGAAGTCCTGCCTTCTATGTGGCCAGAAGATATTGGAACTGATGCTGGGAAACAGTTTAACATAGAGAAGCCAGGAAGTGACCAAGACATGTTGGAGGAGGTCACAATAGTGGAGGAGCCAACTATAGTAGATTTCAAACGTCTCATGGAGCTCACTAACTACACAGACAGAGGGTCATCTCAGCTGACCTATTTCATGAAATACCTGGAGTACAGGCAGGCTAATGCTGTGCGTCTCCTAAGAGAAGAACTCGACAACCTAAGCAAACAGAGACAGGAGGTTGAGCTGAGGAAGTTGAAGATATTGGAAGAGCACCGGTTTGAGGACATAAGATATGGGGATGACAAACGACCAGTTTCTATATTGGATGAGGTTTATGACATATGGCAAGATATACCTCGGAGGAAAAAAGACGTTGTTGTTCAGAATAAGGGTATTGAAATAGATGCCGAGTATGATACTGTAGTGTACTGGAAGCAGAGGGCCCTGCATCTGGAAAAACTGTTGGAAGCGAGTATACACAGAGAGCAGACACTTATGGAGAAGCTGGAAGAAAGCATAAAGAATCTTGAAAGGCAGTCCTCTCCTGTAGAAGAATTGTCTCAGATTCTGAAAAGAGCAGATAATTTCTTGCATTTTATTCTGCAGAATGCACCTGTTGTCATAGGCCACCAGGTATATTCCAGTGAGTATTGCGTTGAATTTTCTGCCTCTGCAACAACTTATAGAATGATCTTAGCTTATGTGCAACATACTCCTTAATTGGGATGTTACATTGTGACTTCATTCAAAATTCATACCTGATGTTAGATTCCCTTCTTGAGTTTTTCGGAACCTTTAAGTTGAAAAGTGCTATAACAAACATTCATTTGTAAATTAACTAAATTAACACGATGATAATTACTTACAATATCATGAAGCGGCACCAAATTCACCCTAGCGAAGTCATATCTTGTTTGACACTCTGCACACTGTGCTGCTGTACTACCTAGGTACATGGGACCCAGGAAGGACTGAAATTGCGTTTTTATTCACAAAGAATTAGCCAACTGTAGAACTAAACCCTTCATTGGTGCCATAACAAAGTGTAGGTACTTGCCAGTAAATTGATGTATGCGTATGCAATACTTTGGAATTAGCAGACAGTATTTCTCTGGAACTTGGGCCAAAACTTAATTGAATACTTTGACTAGAACTTCCCCATTGTAAACTTTCTGGGTTCATCATCATGTTAATGCTCAACTTCTGCCTTCTATCAAAGGGCTGATTCTCTTTTTATTTTTTCTTCAGGACAAAGAGTTGCGCTATCGCTTTATCTATAACCATTTCCCAAGTTTGCAAGAGGAGGTAGTGAACTTTTCTGGTTGAAAGCTTTTGCGTAAGATGTTGTATCGTTGTATTCTTCTTTGAATGTTTTAGATCAAAAAATGCCCTTGAAAGTGTGAAACATCATATCTTCCTTGTTCTTTCTCAAAATTGTGTGATATAAGTATGCTGAAATGTCTTGACTCTAAAATCTACTCCTCTCTTTCAGGACATCATAGGAAGAACAGATGTGGAAATTTTCACGGGGTCTGGAGTCAGGGAATCTCAAGATTTTAAGAGAGAAGTTTTGGAAAAAGGATTGCCTGCGAAAAGGGAAATTACCTTTGAGACAGAACTATTTGGGTCAAAGACATTCTTAATTTATGTAGAACCTGTCTTTAGCAAGGCAGGGGAAACAATTGGGATAAATTACATGGGAATGGATGTAACAGATCAGGTAGATTCTATCTGGCTTTTGAAGATATTAACAATCTTCTTGTTGCAGATGAGGGTATTGATAATTCAGACATACTGCAGGTGAGAAAAAGAGAAAGAATGGCACAAATTAGGGAAGAGATTGCAGTTCAGAAAGCAAAAGAGACTGAATTAAATAAGACCATCCACATTACAGGTTTGATCACTCGGTCAAAAATTAGTTCTGAATTTCACTTCAACTCGATTTGGCTGCAAGAATGATTATTGTTATAATTTGCCACCTTGAATAGAGGAGACCATGCGAGCAAAACAAATGCTAGCAACCATGTCCCATGAAATAAGATCTCCACTGTCGGGGGTTGTTAGCATGGCTGAAATTCTTTCTACTACAAAACTTGACAAGGAGCAGAGACAGCTCTTGGAAGTCATGCTTTCCTCAGGAGATTTGGTTCTTCAACTTATAAATGACATATTAGATCTTTCCAAGGTTGAGTCAGGTCAGACAAACTACCTTATACCATTCTATATTCTTTTATAATCTACATAAGCTATTTTTATTTAAGCATCCTTAGAGCAATTTGGGAGTCTTATTTCAGACAAGAAGTGATTTCGGGTTTTGGTGACCTTGTCTATGCAGGAGCCATGAAGCTGGAAGCTACCAAATTCCGTCCAAGAGAGGTAGTAAAGCATGTTCTGCAGACTGCTGCAGTATCGCTGCAGAAAATATTAACCCTAGAAGGTCATGTGGCAGATGATGTACCTATTGAGGTGATATCTTATATTACACTATTCATCTTGCTTTCCTTCCAAAAATTCCATCAAGAATCAATAACAGAGTACTTGTATCATGGTATTAACGTCTTTGATGATCTTTTCTTTCCTCTTTATTTCAGGTCACTGGAGATGTTTTAAGGATTCGGCAAATTCTTACAAATCTCACAAGGTATATTTCTAAACAAACTAACAAACACTATGTAAAACCTTAAAATTTTATCATTTGGGTTGATTTTTCCGTCAAAAATTTGCAGCAATGCAATCAAGTTCACCCATGAAGGTAAAGTTGGCATAAATCTCTACGTTGTAGCGGAGCCCAATTTTGCAAAATCGGGAGACAAGTCAAGCGAATCGGTGAGTGGATTGACAGAAGAGAGATACTTGTCAGCGTCACAAAATGGAAGTGATGAATGCAGATCTCCAGTTAAAAGCGAATGCTCAAGAAATGGGGATACAGAGGAGCAACCTCATTCAACTGAAACTACAGTGTGGATACGTTGTGATGTATACGACACTGGAATTGGAATACCAGGTATCTTATTAAACCGGAACACATATTGAACGAATGCACAGGAATTTGATTTCTATCAGAAAGCTGCTCACTCTATATAATTTTTCATCGATTTCTTGTGCAACAGAAAATGCAATTCCTACTCTATTTAAAAGGTACATGCAAGTCAGTGCAGACCACGCTCGAAAGTATGGCGGCACTGGGCTAGGACTAGCAATATGCAAACAACTGGTAATTCCTTCCTGAACCAAATTCAAAGAAATAGTCCTTTGATCATTCTTTTTATTTAGTTTTTGGGTGGTAATGATTAATATAACATCTTTTCTTATTGGAATAGGTCGAATTAATGGGTGGTCGTCTAACAGTGTCAAGCAAGGAACATTGTGGTTCTACGTTTACATTCATACTCCCATACAAGGTTTCTATTGCTTGTGATCATTCAGATGACACCGACGAGCTCTCAGATAGGGCGAACGACGACGCTGCGTCGGATGATGCTACGCAAGGATTCTTCCAATTCCAACCACGTACGTTGGGCTCACTTTTCTCGTCCAGCGGATCTACCAGAGCCCCAAAATTGTTACCACATAAACTTGGGCTCACAATCCCTCATAACTTTAATGGGTTTTCGGAGACTTCTTACTCGTTCCCCTCTAACGACTTCACTTCAAATGGAACAACTTCAGTTGGAGACAGAATCCGAGTGACAGTACCAGACGCGCCAGAGATATCTGAATCAGGAAGTTCGATGACTCATAAGCCAGAAACAGAGAAGGAAAGTGTAGTTAGTAGAGACAAGCAGCGTCAAGGTAATACATTTGCTCAACTCCAGAATGGTATTGCAAGTAGAGAAATTGGGGTGGCAACGAAGTCAAGCAAAACCCAGCAATCAAGTGAGACGCAAGAGAAGGATAACAACAGAACTTCCCACTGTGTTACTAGCAGAAATAATAGTACACCAGCAGTGGCCAAACCCCCATTAGAGCCTAAGATCCTTCTAGTTGAAGATAACAACGTCAATGTTATAGTGGCACGCTCGATGATGAATCAGTTAGGTCACAGCATAGACGTGGTAAATAATGGAGCGGAAGCTGTGCGTGCAGTTCAGCGCAGGAGTTATGACCTCATTCTGATGGTACTTTAATTTCTGGAACCACCGTTTTTCCGAAACCAGAATGTTCATTTATTAGGACCACGAAATGTTTTGTCTGAATAATATGAGCACTTATGGTAGCTGCAATTTTGCAGGATGTGTGCATGCCAGTTATGAACGGTCTTGAAGCAACAAAATTGATTCGCTCTTTTGAGGAAACTGGCAATTGGGATGCTGCAACAAAAGCTGGAATAGAGTCAAGCTTTTCAACTTCAGATTTGCAGAAACCTGAATGTTGTACAAAGCGAATGCCCATTATTGCAGTGAGCACTTAGTCTGATTATGTATCTTCTAATTTAGAAGACACCAATCCTTTACGTGTAAGGGACATATTGGATGATATTCTCACTATCTCATGTTGATGTGCAGATGACGGCAAATGCTTTGTCAGAGAGTGCGGAAGAGTGTTATGCAAATGGAATGGACTCATTTGTGTCTAAACCAGTGACATTCCAGAAATTGAAGGAGTGCCTTGAACAATTCCTACGGTGACATCCTTGTAAATTATGACATGTGTGTATAAAATAAATAAATAAAAGAGGGTAGGAAAGTTTTGTAATGAATGCGTTGTCCTCCATGATTAGCGTCTAGTAACTTGAGTTGTACAGATCTAAAATATTCTTTGCCTTGTCTCCCCTGTAATTTTTTTTATTAGTTCCCAAGGGAGAGCAAGAAGCCTTTCTGCACTACTACAAGAGGGAAGGGAATTTGCAATAACAAGATCATATCTCAGCAGGTAAATTCTCCGACACACAACATGACAGTAGTTCTACTAGTTATATAAACATCTGGCATGCATCTGTCAAATATAGGCATAGTTCCTTTTCTTAAACTGTCCTCTCAGATCTATTTATGATTTCACTAGTATCTAATGCTTTGGGACAGCAGTACTATGCATTATGATGCAGTAGAATCGTTCTTAAAGATGGAAAGATTCTTCGTATATAAAGCTATCTAGTAAGTAGTAATGATAATAAAGTTTCCTTCCTGTTTCTCTATCTTATGTTTACGGCGGTTTTGGCCGTCGTTCCAGCTAATTTAGCCGACTCCACATCGCCATGATCCCCAGTCAATCTGCGCGGAATGGCGGCCCTCTCTCTCCCTCTCTCTCTCTACGCTCTAAAAATTAAAAAATTCTAAAGGACGCGAGGCTGTACTTGTATTCTAGTTACTCGGCTAATTAATTTACAGATAATAAATAATTAGTTAAAAATAATAAATAGTTTAGAAATATATTCTTTTCGTTTCTTCTTATGAGCAACAACTACTATTTTTCTTTTCTTTTTAAATATAAACATTTGCAAGTTGTCTTGAATTTTTGTAACAAATTATTTATTTTGCTCTCATTAATTACTTATTTTAATACAATATATTTATTATCTCATTTCTCAAATCATTATCTCTCCATCACATAATTTCTTTCTTCTATAATTCTCTTTATTATAATAATTTTTTTTATCCTCTCTCTTCTACTCTTCCCCCATAAATAAAGGCATTTTAGAGAACTTTTAATTTTTACACATTTATTGCTTTTAACTAATTTTAACTAATATTTTGATCTACTTGATAAGTTCCAATATTACTTATAAAAAGAGATAGAAAAATATTATAAGAGAAATTATGGCAAAAAGAGAAAATGAATAATTAAGGGTAAAATTGAAAAAAAAAAGTGCACTAAATATTAAGACAAACACCAAATTGAAATTTATACTCCTCCAATCCTAAATATAAAACTCTTATACAAGTGTATAAGGATCTTATATTTAGGACAGGAGGAATAAAATAAACCACCCCCCACTTTGAAACTTATAAGTAAAACCGAAGGAAGTGTTTGCTAGCCAATCATTTTTAAAATAGAATTTCCTTATTCCAATTTAATTTAAATAATTTAATTTTATATATTTATTTTTAATTTAAAATATTATTGAGATTATTTCTATATTATACATTTTACTCATGATGAAATAAACAATTGTCTAAACAGCGTAAACTATATTCTGAAGGATCCAGATTCAGGCTTAGAAGAAGATGATTAATCCAGGGTTGGCCCACATTTATCAAGCGGCCCGCTGTTAGTGACGCTGACTCAAAATAATGATGATGGTTCAGTTGATCAATTCGATGATTTCTGATTGGAACGGTTTTCCAATGAAGTGTAATTAAAATTTTGCTAGGTAATGCTAGGCAAGGATCCAATCCTAGTCGTCCTGAATCAAAACAAATACTCTTTCGATTCTTAATATAAGACCCATTTAACTAATTTGATTAGATCAAAGAAGTTAGGTAAGTTAGTTAATTATAAGAAAAGTCACATATTTTTCCTAAAACAACATAATCATCTTTTTTAATACCCCTTCTCCTTCTTCTACTTGATTATGATTGAGAGAGTATCCATGGGGGTAATTTAGAGAAAATTGATAAATATGAGAAATGGGTCTTATATTTAGAACCAAAACTAACTTAAGAATTGAATCCTATATTAAGGACCGGAGGAGTATTAAATTATCTCTCGTTTTTTTTTTTTAACTAACAACTATCATTTCTTCTTATTTTTAAATATAAATAATATTTGTAATTTATTTTAAATTTTTATAGCAAATTTTCTATTTTATCCCCATTAATTATTTATTTTAATAACTAATATGTTTATTATCTTATTTCTTAAATCATAATCTCTCATCATCTACATTTTCTTTCTTTTATAATTCTCTTTATTATACTACCTCCGATTCTAAATATAAGAGTTAGTTGACTAATTTGAGAAGATTAAAGAAATAAATTGAGTTAGTTATTTGTAATAAATAGGTGTTATTTTTATTAAAATATTCCTACTAATCAAATGTATTAGTTAGAACTACCATTATTAGAAGGCCTACCTTGGGAAAAATGCACAAATATAAGAGACAAAGTAAATTGGGATCTTATATTGAAAACCAAAATAAAAGTCAAATAAGGTCTTATATTAAGGATCAGATGTAGTAATAATTTTCTTATTTATTGTTTTTAATTAACTTTTTCATCTATGTAATGGAATCTAACGTTGCTAATGAAAAGGAACAAGGAAATGCCTCTCTTTCGTCTTCCCTTTTCTGGGCTAGAAATGAATGTGACTGGTTAAAACCAATTGGACAAGGAAAACTAATCGACATGGATGCGAAATCAATTTCTACGTTTAATTACCATGTCAAAGAAAACGAGTAGATTAGAAATTTAGAACGATGGCTCCGTAATGGCTGTCGGTCATCGCTCTTGAAGTCAATGATTTGACAGAGAAACAAACCTTTTTTTGCCTTTCAGAACAAACAAAACGAGGCAGAGTTTTAGTTATGATATGACTAGTTTTTACCTGGGGAAATAAACTCCTGGTTAGTCTTGCGAAGGACTTGGTCAACATTGCTCAATTTGGGATCAGGATAAATGTACACATCTTAATTTTAGTTTGTTCACAGATGAAATCTTCGGGCTTTCAGAGGATTATTTCATCCATGAATTTGAAATGAGTTGGCAATGCTTTTTTGCCAGGTTCGAGTTTTCTACTTACAGAAATTATTAGATATATCTATGGATACATGAGCAAGAGCAATATAATACTACATATACGTATATGAGTGTCAGATTGAGATGGGGCTAATCTGCATCAGTTATTTGAAGGACTACTTTCAGGTGAGGGTGAAGGTGGGGAATTATGCACCATGCTTATCTCCATGTCATCCTGCGGTTCATCTCCATATGGATTAACGTTTCCATGTTCTACCGAAAACGAGAAGTTTGATTCTGTTTGACTCGACGGACTTGGTGGGCAGTGAGTATTTGGTGAACTTTGATGTTCACTTTTTCTGAACGTGTGGGAGCTCAAGTCTTTGTCGTCAAACACTTTAAGCAACGCACTGATTCGTTTCCATATTGATGATGAGGAGTCAGATGGATTGGGGTGCAAGATATGCTTATGCTGGTATAGGAATGTGACGGCAAATATGAGGAGAGCTGAAATTGCAGCAACCCCAGCAATGAAGAAGAGGCCCCAGAAACTATCGACGCTTAGATGAGCGGAAGAAACCGAAGCATCCTTCTCTGGACAATGACTTCTCTTGAACCATGCGTTCTCTATTGTTTTCATTTTATCTCCCTGAGTCACATTTATGATTCCCCTTGAAATGTCTGCTACGAGAGGAGACCCTTTAGGAAACACCTGTGTAATTTCAACAAAAAGAAATGACGTTGGTGGAACAGTTAAGATGAATATATGCGTGTGTCTGTGGAGGAATAACTTACATAACCAAAGCCGTCAGTTCTAAAAGAAGGCGGAACTGTGGAAGTATACTTGGAGCAGTAAGTTGCAAGAAACAGCTTCACATTGGGCATTTCGTCAAAAGCAGCGTCAATGCCACCCTTGGCAGTTCCCAATGTAAACAGTTCGTCACAGTGTTCTGCGGAATGATAAGGAATGAGCTGGGATTCTTGAAATCCCATATCTTTTAACATCCCACGCACAAAAGAACCAGTGTAGTAGCCCACATTCAGCTTATTTTTGATCAACTGATTCACATCTGTAACGCTTGGACGCAGCTGTTTAACCGTTAAGAGGGAAGTCAAGCTCGCCGTGTAGCTTTGGATCAAAATTAGAACCACGAAGACCCACATCGTCACCACAAATCTAGAACAGTTGCTCACTATTTTCTCCCCTGCAAAATAAAATCACACTTTGTATATAGCTGATACTGCTAAAAGTTAATTTCGTGCATAATCAAGATATGGGTAGGTGGTACTTACGATGGGCAAACACCAAGATTGAGAATGAAAACCATAAGCTGGTGCCAATCTGATGTGAGGGCGGTCCTCGGAACGTATCGTTTATTCGATGCTCAAGCACCCATACGACGAAGGCAACAAATATGAACGAAATAGTTGTGGTGACCCACAGATCCCACGTCAATGGCTTCAAGAATGCCCACGGACTCTTGTGCTTATTTTCTACTAACAGAACAATCATTGTTCCTCCAGATTCTGTGTATGGCATAGTGAAGTCCACATCATTTGACCTGTCGGCAGTAATCGCCGTATCCCCAACAACTGCATCAAGATTCTGTCAACGCATTGTTAGGTACATAGGAAATTAAAACACACGTATTTCATTTTTACACTGAAGAGAAAAAAATAAAGAAGAGGCGAAGAAAGAGAATTATTACCCCATTAGAAACTCGGTTGATCAGCTCATCGTATGTTCCTGCAGGTCCTCCATCGGGTTTTGCAAATGGGATGAATTCGTAAGGGACTGCGTAGGGCAAAACTTTCAGCACTTCCTTAAATACTTCGATGCTGAATCCATCGACATCTGTTGTATTGGTGATACGATTATGTGATAGCTTCACAAATTCAGTAAAACCCTTTTTCACTGGAACTCCTATCCTCATCTTTTTCTCATTTGTAGGATTATCCCAACCCTTTGGAAGAGAGTATGTATCTCCTGGCCATATGATAGGCTTTAAATTATTCCTGGAAGTAGAATATGTGCTTGCGCTTGTGAAATTCAGGTTCCTTGTTATTCCTTTTTCTGGTGTCCAAAATCCTACCCGTCTTTCTCCATTCCCATTAACGTTGATTATCTCAAATGTGGATGCTTGCAGTTGCCCGTCAATAACACTGAACTCTCCACTGATGCCCCTAAATCTAGTATCTAATAATGCCCCACGCAGCCTTTCCCCATTCTGTGAAGCTCCCAACTTTTCAAGATCAGAAAATTTACCCGAAGCATTGCTCATATCAAAGCCGAGATTGTTGGTGCCAGCCTTCTCAACAGCCATAGCTAATGCAGTGGCAGCATCATAAGCCCATTTTCCAAAAATATTCAAATCCGTATCAACAAGGGTAGGATTGTCTCGCACGAACTTTCTTCTCCATCGAACTTTAAAATCGTCATGCCGTTTTGTTTTGGGAACATAAGTCCTCACACCCAGTACTCCTTGCATTGAATCTATCACTGAGGAGTCCAAGGAATTTATCTCGTTACCCAAACCATCGGTGACGATCCAAACATAGCCTTCGTTCATCATGCCAATCTCATAAGCTATGCTGAAGAGACGAATGCCAGGATTTGCGGACATGTGAACAACGAACACTCTGGTTTGCATGGTCATCAACTTGTAAAGCTCTCCTCTGATGTCTTCATCTGTGGCTGAAGGAGAGATGGCGCTGAGATATGGGATTTGAACATACGCTTGTTGCAGAGCATTAGTCAAAAAGGGTATTACCCCCTTCCCGTACTCGTTGTCTACGTAAATGGGCACTGCTTTTCTCCACCCAAAAGCTTGTACGATGGCAGCGATGGCGTTCACTTGAGATGAATCGTTTTGTGCGAGTCGAAAGAAATATGGACTCCGAAGGGAAGCAAGAGAAGGAGTCGTTGCCGAAAATGTTAAGATGGGCACATGAGCTTTGTCTCCAAGACTGATCACAAAGTTAGCTTCCATTGACGTAAGGGGTCCGATTATGGCTTGCACTTCCTCGCCTTTTGTGAGATCTATAGCTGTGTATATGTTTCCAAAATACAAAAATCATCAGTAACATGTTTGACTTCCTACATCTTGCTTCGAAGAGACGACGCCACGGGTTTGGGCAACCAGCGTTTGGCTAATAATTAACGTGATATATATATATATATATATATATTCAGATTGTATTTTTTCTCCGTTTGATTTGTTGACGCTGTGGAATGAAATTCTCTGTATTTTCTTAATGTTTGTGTCTTTGCATGTTCCTATATAAAAATAAAAATAAAAAATTCTATGTGATTGCACTTTTCTTAAAAGTACCAGTTACTTGTTCTTGAAAAAAAAAACCGTTTAATATAGACAGAGCAAGTAGCAATTAACAATTTTCACACCCAACGACTGATCATTTCGGAGTAAAACAGAGCACCTAAACATTATTAGCAAATTATATATATGGACCAAATCAAAAGAATTCTTTTTTACTCCTGACCAAAAAGAAAGAGGTTGAAATGTAAAGATTAATTCCAAGAAAGGATTAAGAAGTCCTGAAATTTTCTCCCCCTTCGTTCGAATTAAATAAAACCGACCGAGAAAACACACTCTCGGCGTTTTCCAACTTAGTTCGATAACTGAGAGTCAAATATTGCAATGATTAACCCCAGAAAACATAGACATAACGACAGACAGCGATCAGCTGTCCCTAATAATAAGGAGCAAGCTAAGCTGACGAAGAACAGAAGAAGCAGGCAGAAAGCAGATATATATATATATATAGAGAGAGAGAGAGAGAGAGAACCTTGAGATGATGCAGTGATAACATCTGTGTGGGAGTCTCTGACGTGAAGGAGGAGCCTGGTGCTGTAATGAGAATGAGAGGCATAAAAGTCAGAGAGGGACATGTTGATAGAGCTCAATCCGATCTTAGCCGTTGTGTGGGAAAGATCAAGCAAAACTCCCACCTTCACCGGCACTGTTGTGTTGTTCTGTGAGACGCTCAGCTTCAAACACAGAATCACAGAGCAATAGAACACCAGGGCATCCCTCTTCTTCTTCATCTTCCGCACTAGCTGGCTTCGCTGCTCGTCCTGCAGTCACAAACGAAAGACAGATTTTATAGTAAGTTTGACGTTTGAACGAGTATGCATGTACGACACGCGTAAAGCCAAGAAGAGATTAATATTTTTTTTTTTTGCCAACGATTAATATTATTTACTGCATGTTTATTTTTTGGTCAAAATTCAAAAAATGATTTCATTGGTCGTTGCTTTATAAAATGCATGTTCTTGTTTTCAGTCAAACCGTTTACTTGTATTGCTTCAATGTTCAAGAATCTGGTTGTTGCTTGGCAGTATCTATTATTCTGATGTATGTATCCTGTATAATAATTGTATCTTAAAATTGTATGGCGTAGATACATAAATAAATGTACAGAAAAATAACAAATTTAGGAGGAAAAATATGAAAACGGTTGAGTTTGGGCTTATGTTCAAAACATATTCATAGGAATATTTATAAATTATTTATTGACAAATTTCTCATATCTAAAACAAAACTTAAACCTAGATCTCTGAGATATAAATTGTATAAATTCTTTCTCAATTGAATTAATCTTTGTTTGTATTTGAATGTCGTTGCTGGGACTTAATCAAAGTTTCTTTCTCGTCCGAGACCCAGAAATCGACGCATATATAATTTTCTGTAAGTATTAGTATTTTAATTTCATGAAAACGAGAGCCCCAGCGAAGCAAGTTAATCTATTCTCAGAACTATCGGCCGAATTCCTGGAGGTCATTGCTTTTTTAATGCTGCAGATATTCGCATTTATTTATTCGTCAAGTTCTATTTTTTAATTATTAGTATTTATATATAGTTTGTTTTTTTTTTTTTTTTAATGTTGGGTCATCCATCCATACAAAACCCTACAGGAATACCAGTCATTGTGACTGTAAACTATTTTTCGTTATTGGTCTAGCTACTTTGAACCAGTCCACGTAATTTTGGTCATAAATAATTTGATCCATTGGTGGAAGTCACAGTTTACACACTTACTTATATTTAAGTTAAAATATTTGTAGACTTCGTCAACAAATTTAAATCTGTGAATATTTATGATAAAAGATAAATATATATTGTACATGCAAAAATTCTTGGGCCAAAAAAAAATGCAAAATTCAGTTGGAAATTGATGACTGTACAATTCCGAGAACATGAATGAATATCCATGTCATGTTGAAGACTAAAAACCTAACCTTAAGTAGGCTGTATCCAGTGGCGGACGGTTATTTCTGCGTTTTGAGGCAGATAGGCATTTGGCGGATTAGCATCACCAAACTCTCCAGAAAACACCGCACCGTTTCCATTAAGGGAAAAGTCGAATTCGCCTTCGCTTGATGGACTTGGGGGACACTGTGATGTCGGAGAGGCTTCAACTGGACCCAACCCATGAGTAGGACTCGCCCTTTCCTTTTTCCTGAAAGTGTGAGAGCTCTCGTCTCTTTGGTCAAAAATCCTCAGCAACATCTTTATTCTCCTCCATATTGATGCGCCGCCATTATAGCCTGACCACATGTTTCTGTTCTGGTGGAGGAATGTGACGGCGAAGATGATGAGTGATGATACAGAAGCAAGCCCTGCAATGAGAAATAAGCCCCAGAAGCTCTCAAGGCCAAGGCTGTTTGAAGAAACTAAGGCCTTGGAATCTGGACATTTATTTCCATTCAACCATTTATTTTCTATTGTTTTCATTTTTTCGCCTTGTGTCACGTTCAAGATCGCTCTTGAAATGTCAGCTATCAGAAGAGAACCTTTTGGAAAAGCCTGCAATTCAACCGAATTTTGTTGGCAATCCTATTGAAGTAAGATAAATTGGACTGAGACTAAAAAAGGGGGAAGTTCTGACAGACTTACAAAGCCAAAGCCCCCAGTTTTGAAAGTTGGATCAACTGTGGTGTACTTGGAGCAATAATTCCCAAGAAAGAGTTTTACGTATGGGATTTCATCAATCGCAGCAGCGATTCCACCATTTTCAATTCCTCTTTCAAATAATTCATGGCAACTTTCGGTGGAATTATAAATTTTGAGTTGATAATCTTGAAAACCCATGTCTTTCAAAACTTCGTACACAAAAGAACCTTCCATATAACCAACATTCAATCTATTCTTTATAAGCATATTCACATCCTTCACAGTTGGGCTAAGCTGTTCAACTGTCAAGAGCGACGTCAAACTTGCAGTATAACTTTGACTCAGAATTAGAACCACAAATATCCATATGATCACCACAAATCTACTCAAGTTGCTCACCACTCTCTCTCCTGTAAAATCATTGAATAATCTGTCATGTGTTATCCATATCCACACTAGTGATAATCATCAAAATCAGTCTAAAACTAGGAAGAAGAGTACAACTTACGATGGGCAAAAACCATGGTTGATAAAGAAAACCATAGGCTGGTGCCAATTTGATGTGACGGAGGCCCTCTGAAATGTTCGTTTATTCGGTGTTCAAGCACCCACACAACGAACCCAATAAATACAAAGGAACAAGCAGTTGTCACCCAAAGATCCCAAGTCAGTGGCTGTAAGAAAGCCCACGCATTCTTCTTCCTTTTGTCTTTCACCGGAACAATCATTGTTACACCAGATTCAGTGTACGGAAAAGTGAAATCCACATGGTTCGACCTGTTTGCTATGATCGTTATATCCGCCACCGCCGCATCAAAGTTCTGTAAATCGAAACAACTTTTCATCAAGGTTTATTTGAAGGGAACTTGATGCAGAGAAAGTATCCAAACAGGATTAATTACCCCAAAATATACTTGGCTGATAAGGTCGTTGTACATTGGAGTTGTACTAATCACAGCTTCCATTTTAGGAAATGGGATGAATTCATACGGCAGGTCGTACGGCAATGCTTGCACCACAGCCCCGAACACGTCAATGCAGAGTCCTTCGAATTTTGTATGATTTGTGATTGGATTAAGTGTTGCGTTCACGAATTCCTTGTAACCCGCTTTCACCGGTACGCCTACTCTCAACTTTGTTCCTTTTACAGGGATTTCCCAACCCTTTGGAACAGAGTTTGGTTCCCCTGGCCATATTACTTTCGCTAGATCCTTCTTTGATGCAGAATATGTGCTTGTGTTCGTCGAACTGAGATTTCGAACGAGTCCATTTTGTGGTGTCCAAAATCCTATTGTTCTTTGCCCATTACCAACCACGTTTGCTATCTCAAACGTTGATGCTGGCAGTTGTCCGTTAACAACATTGAACTCTCCACTCAGGCCTCTGAATTTGATTCTGGATATGGCTTCACGCAGCTTTTCCCCATTTGGTGATACTCCCAAGCTTTGAAGATCGGAAGAATTGCCTGAAGCGTTGCTCATATCGAAGCCAAGATTGCTGGTGCCGACTTGCTCAACAGCCATGGCTAAAGCCCTGGTAACATCATAAGCCCACAATCCAAACACTTTCAGATTTCTGCCAGAAAGGGTTGGATTGTCTTGAATGAACTTCCTTTTCCATCTGACTTCAAAATCATCAAGTTTTTTCGTTTTAGGAACATAACTCTTGACACCCAATACTCCTTGCATTGATTCTATGACTGAGGAGTCGAAGGAATCCAACACATTACCCAAACCATCGGTTACGATCCAAACATAGCCTTTGCTCATCATACCAATCTGTTTTGCTATGGAGAAGAGACGAGTGCCAATATTGGTGGACATATGCACAACGAACACTCTGGTTTGATTGGTCATCAACTTGGAGAGCTCTGTTTTGATTTCCTCGTCCGTGGCTGAAGGTGAAATGCCACTCATATATGGGATTCGAACATAGGCTTGTTGAAGAGCATTAGTTAGGGAGTGTATGGCCCCTTTCCCGCAGTCGTTGTCGACGTAAATGGGCACTGCTTCTTTCCACCCAAAAGCTTGCACGATTGCGTTAATGGCATTCACTTGAGCCGAATCGTTCTGTGCAATCTGAAAGAAGTATGGGTTCCCAAGAGAAGCAAGAGAAGGACTAGTTGCCGAGAAGGTTAGGATGGGCACATGAGCTTCGGCTCCAAGACTGATCACAAAGTTGGCCTCCATTGATGTCGATGGTCCTATTATGGCTTGCACTTGCTCTGTTTTGATGAGATCTACAGCTGTTCGTCATCATAATTACCGTGTTCAGAAACATGTTTGACTTTAATACTCGAGCAAAAGCTGTGATTTTTCTTTGAAATTGTTTAAATCTATATTTGCCAAGACAAACTATCAGCTAAACTGCCAGATGTTAATTGGGATAATAATGCCAGGCGACAATTTCTTTACCATACATATTATATAATTTTCAAAAGGCAGTTGCGCCTAACAGGTTAAGCTATGGGACTGAGAAGAAATGTTTTAAAAGAAAATATTATACTCCTCCTATGTCTAATATAAGGCCCATTTAACTAATTTGATTAGATTTAAAAAATTAGATAAGTTAATTAATTATAAAAAATGTGACACGTTTTTCCTAAAATACCATAATCATCCTTCTTAATACCCTCTCTTCTTCTTCTTCTACTTGATTATGGTTGAGAGGTATCCAAAAGGGTAATTTAGAGAAAACTGATAAATATGATAAATGAGTCTTATATTTAAGACAAAAAACAACTCAATAATTAGGTCATATATTAAAGACCAAAACTAACTCAATAATTAAGTCTTATATTAAGAATCCGAGGGGTAGTAATATTCCACGAACTTTTGAGATGCTCGATACCGGAAAACTCCAAAGGGCACTCGTTTTGTCTCAATTGGGATCAAAACCAACAAGAACCTATGCATGTCTGATAAGCTTACGAAGATGATAAAGCAAAGGAAGGGAAGAAGAAAGCAGAGAGAGAGGCAGAGAAAAGAAGAAGAAAACCTCGAGCAGCAGCAGTAACGACGTCTCCGTGGGAGTCCCTGACGGTGAAAACGAGTCTGGTTTTGTAATGAGAATGAGAAGCATAAAAGTCAGAGAGGGACATGTTGATACAGCTCCAACCCATCTTGGCCGTGGTCGACGAAAGATCAAGTACGATTCCTACTTTCACCGGCACAGTCGCGTTTGTCTGAGCCCCTGCTCCGATCAGGAAACAAGTAAGAGTCCACATAAGCAAGATCAGAAGGCACGCCATCTTCTTCATCATCTTGATGTCAAGCGAATCAAGCTTTGTGAAGTTAATGTGCAGGTCAAAGAAATGCGTATTTATAGTGTTTCCCGGGTACGAAACTCGGCTCGGAATTTCTCCTTTTTTCCTTCCCATCGTCTTTCTTCTCCTCCTTCTTTTTAACTATTTTTTTAACCGGTTCAGATTTAAATATTTTTAAAGCTATTATTAAAATATTAAATTATAAAAATAAATAAATAATAAATTACAGACTACATTAAAATTTAATTCTAATAGTCTGCAAATGTACTAAATGTTTTTAAAAAAAATTTTATAAGTGGTTTATAAAAAATTAAAATCTAAACTATTGAAATATGTTAATATAATAGTTAAAAAAAATAAGAGGAAGAAAAAGGATGGGAATAAAAGAGGAGATGTTCCGAAGCAATACTAAACTGGACACCCAAAAAAATAGTTTTATAGTAAATAGAGAAAAATAATTTATTCTACTGCATTTGGCATGTAGCTGATAGCTGCTATGAAAGTTCAGGGGAAGAAAAAATAAATAAAATTAACCTTATATGCAAAATTTATTTTATTTATACCATGGATTATTTATGTTTGTCTTTTCAAGAGAAATTAATATTGTAAATTTTAAAAATTTATACGCGCTTTTGGCCAACAATTTATTGTTATTGTAAAAAAAAATACGCATTTGAACAGACAGTGCTAGAAATTTCTCGAACTGGGAGGTTTTGCATGTCTCTGAATACGTTTTAAAATTGACTGATCTAATTTTTTTTAAGAGAAAAACAATAACATGTCAACGCGGTTGATGACGGCGAGGCCGTGAAAGCACGGGATGGTAGAGTTCGTTAAGATCCTGCGAGGCCCAAAAGCGAGGAGAGGAGGAGGAGGTTTCATCTTGGTAAGCCATTGACCAAGTCAAACAGATTTTGGACGCGAAATAAGGGACGCATTTCATTTTAATCGTCTAGGAATTTCATAGCAAGGGGTGATCTAAACCCAGTTCCTATTCAAAGTAGGTAACTAAGTATCGAGCTTGATAGCTTAATGACACCAAGTGCTCCGATCAGGAAACAAGGAAGAGTCGACATAAGCAAGACCAGAAGGCACGCCATCTTCTTCATCATCTTAATGTCAAGCGAATCACGCTTGGTGAAGTTAATGTATAGGTCAAAGAAATGCGTATTTATAGTGTTTCGCCGGTACGAAGCTTGTTCGGCATCTTTCTTTTTGCCTTCCCATCCTCTTCGTTCCTCTTTTTTTTTTTTAAATCATTCCATTAATATTTTAACAGTTAATATTTAAAAAATTTTAAAACTATTATTAAAATGTTAAATTACAGAAATAAATAATAAAATACAAACTATATTAAAATTTAATTCCAGTAGTTTGCAAATGCACTGAATGTTTTTAAAAAAATTTTATAAGTAGTTTATAAAAAATTAAAATCTAACCCGTTGAAATATATTAATCTAATAGTTAGAAAAAAGAAGAGGAAGAAAGAGAATGGAAATGAAAGATGAGATGTCACGAACTGGTACAATTTATAGTGTGGATTATTTATGTTTGTCTTTTCAAGAGAAATTAATTTTGTAAAGTTTTAAAAATTTATATGTGCTTTTGGCCAACAATTTATTGTTATTGTAAAAAAAAAATTTATTTGAACAGACAGTGCTGGAAATTTCTCGAACAGGGAGGTTTTGCATGTCTGTGAATGCGTTTTAAAATTGACTGATCTAATTTTTTTAAGAGAGAAGAAAAAATTAATATGTCAACGCGGTTGTTGACGGCGAGGCTGTGGAAGCACGGGATGGCAGAGGTCGTTAAGATCCTATGGGTCCAAAAGAGAAAGAAGGAGGAGGAGGAGGAGCTAGGGGTGGTAATATGGACTAACCCACATGTTGCAGGTTAGCCCATGACAGGTTAAGGTTAAGCTATATAGGTTAAAAAAAGCCTGTGTAATGACGAGTTGGTTTTTAGTCAACTCTAATCGACCATAGCAGGTTGACAAGTTGACCCATCAACCCACCAATTTTTTTTTTCATCAACCCACCAACTTTTTTTTTTATTTTTAAAATATTTTTTATACAATATAAAAAAAAGGGGAAATTGCAAAAAAAGACCTTGGAATTGTAAAAACGCAGATAGGGACCCTTGACAACTTCACTTTGGGTTTTGACAAGAATAATATGCCCTGAAGTTGTCAAACCTAAAGTGAAGTTGTCAAGGGTCCCTATCTGCGTTTTTGCAATTCCAAGGTCTTTTTTTGCAATTTTTCCTAAAAAAAGGTAATAAATTTTTTTACTTTTTCTTCAAATATTTGCTCGAAAACACCAAATAAATGATATTGGTATTTTTTTAACTTTTTTATAAATAGGATATAAAATATAATAATATAACTACAATAATTAATAAAATTTAAATATATATATATATAAAATAAATGCGGGCTAACTTACGGGTTGGTGGGCTAGTTCATGGCGGGTTGTGAGTTATGCGGTACAAGTTAAAAAGTTTCGTTTGTTGATAGGTTGACTTTTAACCAATCCTAACTTGTTATTTTTTGCAGATCGAACCCACAGGTTCAACCCATATTATCGGCTTTAAGAGGAGGAGGTTTCATCTTCACAAGCATTGACCAAGTCAAACCCATTTTGGACGCCAAATAATGGGTCTCATTTCATGTTAATGACCCCAAGTGCCTCTCTCAATTAAGTCTCTTTAGAAGGGGGATGTGAGCTGAAAAGTTTAATAGTAACATACTAATAATCACATGAGGGGAAAAAAATCAAGGTAGGCCGTGATTTTAAATAAGGAAAATAAATGGGTGGCAATTGCAGTAAGGACAGCGACAAGTGTCCTTTATTTCCATTTTATTAGGATTGGATTTATATAGGCCAACTGTGACTCTTTCTTCCTTTTTGCTATACTTAATGAAAAAGAATTGAACTTTCAAAGTCATTGTTTTAGTTATATTGTAATTAAGGATGACGAATGTGGATAATTACTCAATTGGTGGCTAAATAAGGCAGAGGAATTTTATAAAGACGTTAAGAGAACCAAGACAAGAGATTCGAGAAGACATGTCGCTGCCAAGTTTTGTTATATATACAAGTGCAGAAGATAGAACACTGACGCTGAAAGTTTTCCGCGGGATTCAACTAATGGCTTGACATGAATTATATATGAACTATAAGGTATCAGCATGTGTGAATAGTTGAAAGATTTTAGAAGAATCATACTTTGAATTAAGAACACTGAAAGAATAAGTCAAACTTCATTAACGAATAATGAACAGCACAAGTTGGTGGTTTGTTATCAGATTTATATAAGCATCACAATATTATTTCCAATGATATATTATTTTCGTACTAGTTTGCCCATGTTTGAGGATATATTGTTGATATTGGAAGAGTCAGTATTATTAAAGGATAAAATGCAAACATTTTAATCCTTACAAACTTTTGACAGAACTCGGTAACACTAGACAAGTTCTAATACTTTGAATATTGCCGACACATCAAGCTCACAAAGTTATCATTCATTCATATTACAGTGAGACATTATTTGTATTCTTAAAAAAAAATCTACAGAGTGAAATTTCGCAACTAGATTTCAAATGCTTTTAGCATTAAAATATTTGAATATGAGATTGTCAAAATCTAAAGTTTGGCTCAATGTAAAGTTTGCATGAATTTTATGGGAGTAAAAAATGTATCACATTTATATAGTATTATAAAAACCGAGAACTTACAGGACCTATAGCCTTTTATATCACCCCACCTTCTACCATTTTTTTTTATATTATGTCTTTATTTATATATAATTTAAATACAATGCTTAGAGACTTTTTATTGATTATAAAATGAGTTGAGGATATAAATTTGAGAATTAAGAAAAAAATCTCACGCATTTAGAGCGTGTTTAGTGTATATAATTTGAATTTTTGTGTTTGTTTCCTATGAACTTGTGATTATTAATACTCACATATGCATATACATATATAGATATATATATATATACACGTATGTATGTATCTTTCCATTAAACTTCAATATAATAACAAGGCATGTTAATTATAAATTTGAACTTGACTATATGGAATTTGAAAAGTTCAAATCTTATCAGATCACAGTTATGCTCATATCAAACCTAGACTCTATATAGTACTAGTGGTTGTTGTGGTGTTGCCTTTGAAAAATGAATAAAGTGAGAACGTATCATGAAGTTTAGGAGGAAATAGGAAATCAAAAAGTCGTATTTACATACCGGAGACAAGAGACTGCTAATGTTACATATAATATGACTTTAGAATTTAGAAATTATGAATTAATCAACCTCCTAATCCTGGTTATTCAAGCTCTTCAGTTTCCAGTCTTCACTGCACGGTTTGAACAAGGGAGAATTATTATAGGTCCTGAAGAAGAATAATAATTACTAACAAATTTTAATTATCAATGAACAGTTGAAATATGTTATCATTTTTTATACTGAAATTTATCATTACAAATTGCTCAATTATCATAAGATTTTTTAATAATTATTTTCTTTCTTCAAAATGCCATAACAATTCTCCCTTTAAACAAATCATGGCCAATCAGGTTTCAATTATCAATTTAGTTACTCATTATATTTTTTTTGTGATCAACATTATAATACTACTTCCAATCCTTAATATAAGAGCTTATTTGATTTTTATTTTAATCGTAAGTATAAAACCTCAATCCATTTTGTCTTATTTATTTATTTATTTTCAAGATAGTTATTGTAATAATGGTAAAACTGATACATTTTATTAGTGAGAATATTTTAAAAAAGATAATATATATTTATTATAAATAACTAACTTAACTAATTTTTTTAATTTATTTGAATTAATCAATTAATTTTTATATTAAGGACTGGAAGAAATATGTTCTAGCTCGACAATTAAAATTGATGCTTAAGTATGTTGAAATATTTACACATCATAATAAATCTATATGAAATAATATATATACACACGCACACACTAGGCTGGGTTAGATAGAAACATGATAAATCTCTATCGTATAAAATGTTAAAGTTTAATTTAAAAATGATACTCCTCGGTCTTAAATGTTACACTACAAAACGGATGAAATAAATTT